GGCTCCAGGGCCCGGATGATGCACTCAACCACCAGGTTGCAGAAGGCTTCAGATTTGCACGAAACTACATACGCCTGAGGCCGGTTGGTTTCTTGGAGAGCGTCTGGGAGGCCCCTGGACTTTGGGAGGCCTCTGAGAGGCCCCTCCCTGGGAGGTCCTGAGAGGCTTTGTTTGAAAGGTTTTTGGTTTATAGACCTGCATGCTCGCTGAGACGCCTGGGAGGCCCCTGGGAGGCCCCTGCAAGGCCCCTGAGGCCCCTGACAAACGTCTGGGAGGCGCCTTGGAGGAGAAAGAAGGACCTGGAAGATTGAGGGAGCCCCTGGGAGGCCCCTGGGAGGCCCGCCTGCGGCGGTTTTGTGTTTTGTGTTTTGGGTTTTGTGTTTTGTGTTTTGGGTTTTGTGTTTTGGGTTTTGGGTTTTGTGTTTTGTGTTTTGGGTTTTGTGTTTTGGGTTTTGGGTTTGGGTTCTGTGTTTTGGGTTTTGGGTTTTGGATTTTGGGTTTTGGGTTTTGTGTTTTGGGTTTTGTGTTCTGTGTTTTGTGTTTTGTGTTTTGGGTTCCGGGCTTGGGGGTTGAAGTTTTAGGGTCATTACTTTTCTAGGTGTCGTCAGATGGTGATCGTTATCTATGAGAGGCTGCAGAGGCTTCACCCTCTGCAGTGATAAGCCTTGGCTCACTGATCGTTCGCGAGCCGCTTCGCGCTAGGTCGCGCTCGCGGCTAGACTTTAGGGTTAAGGGTTTAGGGTTTAGGATTTAGGGTCTAGGATTTGGGGTTTAGTGTTTAAGGCATTTCTCAAATAATCCACATGGAGCCCTAGTACGGGACGGACCCCCATCATCTCCCTATAATCCTTATAAATTCCTTGGGAGCTTTCATGCCCCCCCCTTTAAGAGATACTCCCAGGCCCGAAGCCCGAAACCCATTTCTATACCTACACCCCTTTACCATGATTCCCTGAAGCCTAAACTTTAAGATTTAGGGTGTTGGGTACTGCCCCCCTTAGTAACAGTTGGATCATACATATAATACTGTTACATATAGCCCTTAATAGGACCCCTAATGTGGACTGTTACTGGGTGGGGGCAGTACCCAACCCAAACCCTAAACCCTAAACCCTACACCCTAGACCCTAAAACCTAAACCTTAAACCCGAAACCCTAAACCCCAATCCCTAGTAGCTTCCATTTTCTTTTCCATTATTTAG